ACACAAAGAATGGACATGTCACAGACACAGTGGCCGCGTCACAGACACACACACAGAATGGACGTGTCACAGACACACACCCAGTGGACGTGCCACACACCCACCAGCAGATGTCAAGGCTCAGGGACTTGATTTTGCCCACATGTGTTTGCAGCCATGTTAAAAATTGACAGTCTGAGCACTGCAAAAGCAGAGATGGAGCAGATGCTCCTCCAGCTCCCTGAGCCTGTGCAGGCTCCCTGCTGTCACCAGCTGTGTCCCACTGAGCTTCCAGCCACCTCTTTAACTTACCAACAGCATCAAGTAATTTATTTTTTTTCACAGACTTATAGGTTGTCCATCTAGAACTGGGAGGTTTGCAGATAAGCTCAGGGTGTGCAAAGCTCTTCTTAAGTCTTGAAAAAAGTCTGTCTGCTCAAGTTTTATCAAACCATGGAGTTGCTTTGGTTGGAAGAGACCTTTCAAATCAAGTCCAACCATTAACCCAGCCCTGCCAAGGACACCACTAAACCGCGTCTCTCAGCACCACATCTACATGGCTTGGAAACCCCTCCAGGGAAGGGGACTCCCCCCCTGCCCTGGGCAGCCCGGGCCAGGCCCTGACAACCCCCCCCATGAAGAAATTGTTCCCAAGATCCAATCTCAGCCTCCCCGGGCACAACTTCAAGGATGTTTCCTCTTGTCCCATCCCTTGTTCCTGGGGAGCAGAGCCCGACCCCCCTGGCTCCAACCTCCTCTCAGCAGCTGCAGAGCCAGCAGGTCTCCCCTCAGCTCCTTTGCTTCAGGCTGAACACCCCCAGCTCCCTCAGCTGCTCCTGCTCACACTTGTGCTCCAGCCCCTTCCCCAGCTCCCCTGCCCTTCTCTGGACACGCTCCAGCCCCTCCATGTCCTTCTTGTCATGAGGGGCCCAAAACTGACCCCAGGATTTGAGGTGGGGCCTCACCAGTGCCCAGCACAGGGGGATAACATTTGCATTCCCTGGTCTTGCTGGCCACACTAGTGCTGATATGAGCCCAGGACACATTTTTTTCCATCACTCCACAAAAAAAATGTTTTCTAAAGAGAGAGCTCCTAGGCCAGGGGATTTTTCTTTAAGTTAAGGAGCTCACTTGCTGTACCTCTCGCTCATGTTAGTAAAGTAGAGGTGTTTGAGGGTTCAGAGGATAGTACATCTCCTGGGGTGGAAAGCTTGTCTACTGCTACTTGGCAGTTGCCACGGGTGGGAAGGAGAGGACGTGGCTGCCTACAGAGTGTCTGGGGAAAGAGCAAGAGGGACATGTCCATCACGGCTAAATACCAAGCTCATGAGTGATGGGGAACACAGGAACATGTGGTGGCAGGAGTGACGTCAAACGGAGTTGAGACAAATGCTTGGGATGGACTGTCAGCTGGGGAAGAAGGAAAATAAATGGCAAAATAAAACCCACAGGCCTTTTGACTAAAAAAGGCAGCCAAGCAGCCTAGGAAGAAGCAGAGAGCCAAAAATCTGCTGAACACCTTGCTGCTCTTTCACAGCAAGGCTACTGTCTCACTGTGTAGCCAGAGGCAGCAGAGGCTGTGGGAACAGTGAAAAAATCCCTGACATTTGGTACCATGGACTTGGTATCTCAGCTCCTGCATTTCCACAGAATTCAGATTAAGTGACAGTGATACTGTCTTTCTAAAACAGCTGCAGCCAAGCAAGCCCTCAGTACCACCTGGAAAAGGCTGTTTCCTGGTCTGTGTGTGGCACCATAAATACATAA